GGGTAGAAAATTGTGTAAAATAAATTACTCATTTTTTAAAATCAGTGCTTCCTCCTCCAAGAAATTCTACACATGATTCAAATGAAATCTTAATTATGTTATCAAAATGATTCTTATTCCCTTCGATTGCTTGGCTAGGTCACCGTGTGAAAAATATCTACAACTTTCCTCAGGGGGAAGGGCGTTGAGCATGTTTCTGAAACGTAATATCAAAGACTTGCAGAACGGTAACTTAGGCACTGAATTTAGAATGATTTAGTTTATCCTTATCTATAAAACTTCATTTTGTAGATAAGGAAAGTGAGACCAACCAAAGAGGTTAAGAAACTTACCCCAAGTTCCACAAATAGTAAGTGTCAGAATGAGAATTAGAACTTATATCTACTACTCGCTACTGAGAGGCTCTCACTACAGTATCAAACTGGCATTGAGATGCTAACCACTGAGTGTTTGGTGTTTGGTATCTCAACAGTAATAAGAACAAGAAACATAAACCAAGAAATATAAAAAAAAGTGAACAGGAAATACATAGATGAGAATTTGTTTAGTCTCCTTAGTAATCAAATAGAAGCAAGTTGAAATAAGGAAATCCTATTTTTTTCCCAAATAAATTTTTCAACAATGGTTAATCATGGTAAGAATGTTCTAAGTCAGTGGTTCTCAACCTTCCTAATGCTGTGACCCTTTAATACAGTTCTTGTGGGTTGCGACCCATAGGTTGAGAACCACTGCTCTAAGTGAAAAGAGGTAAAATTTTTTCTACAATGAACACTAAAAGCCTTAAAATTTTTTATTTTTTTAATTTAGGTATACATGAGACATTATTTACAGAGATATTCTTTGCAGTACTGTATACAAATTAAAAGCTAGAAGCAACCTGTGAGTCCCAAGATAGTAATAGTTCCATTCTATATTGGAATACAAAGCAACCACTATATATTATGTTTTCTGAGGAATATTTAATACCTTGTGATATGTTAAGTGTAAAAAAAAAACAATTACCACCAACTAGTGTAAATAACAAATGCAAAGTAAAAAACACACAGACACACACTGGAAAAATATACAGCAAAATATTTCTGTGTTTATCCCTGGAGATGGGATTACAAGTGACTTTTTCCCCATTATCACTTCCTGAACAATTTTATGTATTTCCCAAATATTTTTCAGTGAACATGACATATCTTTAATTGGAAAAATAAGTTCTC